ATTACATTATTGAATTCAATTAGTTTGTCTTCAAGAGCTTAGAGTGCTTTTTGTATAGTACCCATGCTCGCTTCGTCTCTTCGTGCATAATTAAAAAGCAATTATAAGAAATTACTGTCAGCTGAAGGTGGGTTTAAGAACATTGGGGGTTTTCTCCTTTAGCCTGTCCCTGCTCAAAATTTTTCCCTACGAATAATTGGGAGTTCTTCTGCGACCCTCGCGATTATTTCATGTAACTCAAATGTCAATCAACGAAGATTTATTTCAACATAAAGCAATCTTCCGCTGATGGAATATTAACTAATGAATATAATATATTAATAAAGACCGTTTATAATGCAGTATTATAACATATTTAATTGGGTACAAATAAGTAAGATGAGTGCTCTTTAGAATAACGAGTGTACATTAAATTACAACGCCCTTAAACCGAGTTCCGGTCTAACCGGGTTTAAAAACGAAAACAGATTTTATAATAAATATTTACAACTTAAAATCAAAGCCGTAGTCACTTCTCATCGATGCATTAAAATAACTAGTCAGAATAAGCTTTCGGCCTTCATGAATTACAGAAGCAGTTTTGGAATTTACCATAGCTCAATAATGTCATTTTATACGGAGCATTATCTTTATTATTTTAACAACAGAATTGACTTTTAAATATTTGTCACGCCTAATTGCTTGAGGGGCACTGAAAGCCAAAATATAAGTAATGACAAATGTATTACGAATTAATTAATAAGCAGATCGTTTGTTTGCCTAATTTGGATTTCGTTAAAGGTATCAAAATTTTGCATAAATATGTATTTTATTAAATCTATTAAATATGCGCTGTTTCGATATTTGTATAAATATTAAAACTGGTTTAATTTGTAAATGAAAATTTATGAGCTCAAAATTGAATACTAAAAAACGTATAAAATCTGAAAACCTATTGAACATAAAACAAAGTAAAACTGGATTAATATTGAATAAGCAACTAGTTTTCAAGTTGCAGTATTTTAAGTGTGCAGTGGGAAAAATTATTGTGGCCCGTGCACCTTAGTCAGTCTCTCAACGGCGTCTACACAGGTGGTAATTAGTGGATTGTGCCGGCAGCAAATCACCTTCCCAACCTGTTACCTTTCCGACTTTGGCTCCCCAATCAAACTCGACGATCGATTGATCCATTAAATTAATTAAGTGTAGTGAAAACGCTTTGCAAACAATGTAAATTCGAGCCGACGCAGGGAACGCGTTTCGCGGAATGGGATGAAGTGGGGATGGGCAGGGCTGTCCACTGTCACGTGCCCTCGTGCAGGCTGCATTCGATTTAATGGGCTTACCAACAGCCACGCCGGTAGCCGGTCCAACCTGAGCGGTGCTGCTCCAGACGCCTTAATTGATGCAACATGCAAATGGGCGAGGTTGGGTGGGAGGGAATCGGGGTGTGAAAACTTTGGGCCAGACTTGCGCCATATGTGAGCAGTGTCGCAGCTGGGCAAACAGCGCAGATGCCAGATGAGAAGGTGAGGTCAGTGGAATGAATCTGTGGAGTCAGAGCTTTCAAAATATATGCATATACTATGTAGCGCTGAGTGATGCGTTGGGCTTGTGATGTAAATTGAGTGCGAGAAGTGTTCAAATATTGAACATAAATATGTAAATGATTTAAAATCAGAAGTTATCTCATCGTCCATTCTGTAATCCAACTCAGAAACCAATAATCAGTAAACACAATCTCCGTAGGGTATTTCAGAGTAAACCAGGTATACGGTTATGACAGGCAGAGCACGAGTTCTGGACTTCCTCTTAACCTATTGTGCTTTACCACTTTTAGTAGGTTAGAAGCTGTATTTGTAATACATCGCTGCCAGCAACAAACAGCATAATAGTAATTTAACTTAGTTATTTTTGTTAGTTTCTTTTTGGGCAAGCGTATCTGTATCCGCTGGTTTGGCTGGGTAACTGCTTTGGTTGGACGAGTTGAGGTGATTTGGATGCAACGAACAGCTGGTGGGGAAGCGGTGCAGGCAGTAACAATTGAAAGTGTGGGAGGCAAACTGATATGGCATCTCCTATTGTCGGATGGCCTGCAAATTAAAATTAAAAATTATATAATGCGAATAATTTTGCATTCAGCTCCATTCCATCTTAATCGTTTAGATCGTACAATCGGCCATTGAGGAAATGGTACAATGCGGCATGCAAGCTGAGCCATACAATAAGTCGGAAAATTAAAAAAAACATTATTGAGAAATAAATTCAACTAAGATTGCGGACATGCATTTTTACACAGGTATTTCAATTGCAATCTGCAAATACTTTCGAACTGGAGCAACACAATTATTCGACTGGCTTTTAATCAGAAAGAGAAAGAGAGGGCTTGAATAGTTGTATAAGCTGTAAGTTGAAAACTATTTGCTAACTATCTCGGACTTATGGGTAATTGCTTAATCAATATGAAGGAAATGGTTACAATTGATTTAGAAAGCAATTACCTTAATGAATGAATGGCCTCAGGTCAGGTCACTTTAATTCATCTACATACTTTCCTCAATCCTAATTGAATCTGACCCATGAACCCGAAGTAATTGTTCACTGGTTCGGTTAGTAAAGCTACCCATCGAGAACTCTGAAATAGTATGGACTTCTAGAAACCAATCTTTTGGATAAAACGAATAGAATTTACCAGTCTCATAAATCAAACCCCCAACATCAACTATTTTCAATTCTGAAAATCAGTTTGGCTTTAAGTACACTTACTTTTGGATTCATTCCCATGCCCATTTAGAGGCAGCATCACGTACGGACGTTGCCGGGTAGAAATTGCCGGCCGTTACAAGTTCTTAATGGTTTTCTAATTAATTTTTGTTTACAAGTATTTCAAGGCGATGCCAAGTGCACTGAACTCTGACATTGCAGGCGATAATCAACTGCGAAGTGAGAAATCAAGTGTTGAAATGGTCGGACGCCGGATCATTGTAATGCCAAAGTCATAAAGCACGATGCTCAATTGAGTTGATTGAAGCGCGGGTCGGGCCCCCATAATAGTAATGGGATTCAAAATGGGAATATAAACGGGAGTGGTTGGTGTATCTGCAGCAAGAACAGCGACTGTAATTCAAAACAACTAGCTGAATCAATTGTGAGCAACCTCGTGTTGCACATGCATGGGCAACGGCAACAACTTGTTGCAACTTTCGTGACCATGAGGGTCAGAGGCAAAGTTCAATAAAATCCAATTAAACCGCCGCAGTCTGCCCCGCCCCCTTGCCGTTGCGGCAGAACCCGCAGACCTTTCACCGGCCCTGTTGCTCGTAAATTTAAATAACCCAACCTGCAGAGGAACTGAAAACTCGAAAGCTGAAGACAAAGTTGCAAGCTATGTGATTTAATAAAAGGCCACGTAAACTTTCACCGGCTTTGGCCTGGCCATGCCGTGGCCTGGTCTCCCAACTCCTCCTCCTCCAGGGACGGATCAGATTCCGCAGCCCGATTTCCGCGCTGCCGGAGCGCTCAATTAAATTATTGCAGTGCAGGCGGGGAGGCTTCTTCATTGTAGAACTATGCTGGGCCTAAATAAATTATTTTCTCCGTTGCCTTCGCCAATTTGCCGGGTCTCCGCTTCGGCTATTTTTAGCATATTTATTGCATGCGCAAAAGCAGCCCAACAATGCGGTCGGTGACCAGAGGTCAATTTATGCCTCGAAATGTGGATCTCTATAAGTTGCTGGCGAGGTTTTTATGACAGTTGCTTCCGGCGATGGGCGGTGGAAAGTAACTGTGCTGGGTAACCTTAAGTGGCAAGTGGTGCGTCACAGCAGAACGCCTTAACAGTTACTCACAATGAGATCCAATAAGTGCAACCGGAAGGAAAGAAGTTGAACTCGTTGCGATGGTGTAACGAACCCTCAGCCCAGTACTTATAAGTCCGTTTCGCAAACATGCTCTAATCGGAGTAATGCTTCAGTGTCAATGTGAGCCACGGCGTTTATCACTCACTAGCAGTCGGAGCAAAGAAACCGCGTCACCAAGCACAAAGCCAAGACCAAGCCATTCCTTTCTCTAGCTGCTCATGCATTATTTAAATTTTGACCCAGGGCACTTAAACTCCCGACACTCGAAAGTTACTTGGCCCCGGTTAACGTTCGTTGTCCTCAACCCTTCGCCAAGTTCGGCTTTTACTACAATAACACAATAACACATCATTTGTCAGGGCAAACAAATGATGTTGCATGTAACCTTATCATCTCATATCCGTCGCAGACGGTTACGTTACGGCTCGGCGGGGGACAGGGGCGACAGTTGAATACCGGACACCTAGGGTCAAGCGTTCTGGGTTATACTTGACGAGCCACGTCGGCTGGGAGCAAGGAGAGCACGATACAATGGGACACCAGACGAACACAAGCTGTAGTCATGCTGCAGTGGATGTGTCCTTTTTACTATTACCCACAAGTCCTGTGTGTCCGTGTCATGAACACAATGCTTGCTAATGAATAAGCATGGCGACCAGTCACTTCCGCTGCAGCAAACCTCTGTTGCCCTCCTCCTTTCCGGCCAGCAATGAAGTTATAAAGTTACGTATACGTCGTGTGCCCGCACGAAAGTTGAGCAAACAAGCGACAAATTTATTGGGAATCCTCTCCATGGGGACAACATGCAGACATACAGCATGTTTCTCCTTCCTCGGGCCAGAATGGACAGGTCTGTGATCTGTCGGCGACATTGATGCCGTTAATGGGGTAGAAGCGGTAAAGTTCCTTATTCCCCTTTAAGCTTTAAATGCCGGCTGCAAATGTTTGCTTTTCGGGCGTGAACAAGCGGAGGACACGAAAGGCGATCATGTGAACTTTCGCATTGTCTGATGGGCAACAAAAAAATACAAATATGTTAATGAAGGACTTTATAAAAGTTGGAAAGCTTGGAGTGTTGGTAGGGAAGTTCAAAGTCACTTAGATAAGATTCATTTTCTGAGCTGCTCATAATGAAGTTTTTATCTCTCCATTCATTTTCAGATCTTTACCCACCTCTTCTAGGCACAAACTGGAATGACGAAAGTCAGATTCCAAACACAACGAAGTTCAATCAGCAGGATGACCTCAAAAAGTAGTTTAATCAGCCTCAGCTGCCTCCTGGTCCTTATTCAAGCCCTAGCTCCCGCCAAAGCTGCAGTGCACTCAGTGTCCACCCACAAAAACGCATCATCCGTTTTGGGGCAATTGGTCACCTCGAGCACCCTGGTGTGGGAGAGCTATGACCCCAAGGATGCCGCTCAGCTGCAATTTGCCGTGGAGGGCGGAAAGTATGTCACCGAGGATGAGCACTACCCAATCTACGTATGCCGTGTGCCCATCGACGGCTTCCAGGTGTCCGGCCACACCGAGAAAATCCTTCAAAGACACGTCTGCGTTGCGGCCCACTATAAGCACGGAAAGTACGACAACTTCGATGTTCTGATGAACAAGGGTCACCTGGGAAAGGTCGGCTGGCGTCATTGGCGCAAGTTCGATGCTGGAGTCCCGGTGGGTGCCATTCGTATTGGAGACGACTCCTACATTGGACGCCACAGGGCCCCGAGTCAGCCTAACGCAGAGGGCATTGTCACTCACTGGGGCGCAGACTTCAACCTGGGCCACTTGGAACACGTGGGCCTGGGGAAAATTAAGGTAATTGAGAACGAACGTGAAAAATACTATGACGATGGCGAGGTTTTAGTCGAGACGGAGCCTTTCCGCTATGAGCTCAGGGACATCAAGTTGGATCGCTTGCGCACTGATACAAAGGAGAACCAGACTGAACTGGGTAAGTATAATTTTTAATGGTATGCGCTGATTAATAAGTTAAACATTTACCACAGTAACTAGGAGGCTGGAAAATCTGGGAGATAAGTACAGCACTGTGGAGACTATTCTTAGCTATAGCTTTGACTATACTCAGAACTGGGGATCCCATGAGGGCTTGGCTCGAGGTCTGCCCACAAAAATATTCGAAAAAGATGTGCCCATCCCGGCTGAAATTAACTGGGCCCTGAAGCACACCGAGAAACGATCGGAAAACAAGGCAGTTCACACGAAACTCTGGCCTGGCACGGCCATTAATGTTACGCTACGTGGCTACTATGTAACCCTGGAGGCGCCGTACAGTGGAAAGCTATTTGCATTCTACTACGGCAGCGATGAGAGCGTATCCCGGAAGATCAGCGCAGAGGCAAGTGTTCTAACCTTTTCAAGAGTCCTGTTCTAAATTTGTTTGGCTTGCAGGTGCGCAAAAGCTACTTGAAGGATGTGAAGCTGGAGTTCAGCCCAGTCTACTGGATTGAGAACGGAACTCTGGTACCCACAACGACTACCACAACGACAACATCCACATCGACCACTACACATGCCACCACAACCAGCACCAATGAGCCTACGCCCATCAACGAGCCCCCGCTGGTCCATATGAAGGATACGGGCGTACAACATTCGGGTCCCGATACATTAGAGAAAACCTTGCAGGACTCACCGTCCAGCAACGAAGTGAATTCGCACGAGGCTCCCGAGAACATGTCCTCTAATCCTGGCAAGAACGATGTGGCGCTGGCAGGGTTCGGGGTCAACGCAGCGGGGTCGATAGCAACTGCAGGGTCGGCTTTCTTGACGCTGCTCGTAACGGTTTTCCAGAGTCTGTAGATGGAATTGAGCTCCGGACTTAGTATAGCGTTTAATTGTTGTTGTTGTACCTGTTGTACCCGTCTTTGAGAGCGAAAAGAAGAAGAAATACGCAGATAGACATTAAAGGCTCCGAAAGGAGTTAGGCATATAAGAAATAGGAGGTCCCGTAAGTGGGAATAATTTTGGTGTGAAAACTGAAAGCAAAAGTCGATATTTTTTATACTTGTCCCAAGGCTTCTTCTATAACACGCATGCAAGTAGCAATACGAATTGAAATTACCAAGAAGAATAAACCTAATACATTCCTAAACTAAATCCCTCACAAACGGAAATGAATCAAAAGTATAAATTAAAAATAAATATATATATTCATGTAAACTATATATATATCTGTATGTAGAAATATTTTAAAGGTTTTTTTATTTGCAATGCAAAACATAATGTCTTATGATTTAACTGGCTTCTTATTTCTTTAGTTAGTAAGCCACATTAATAGCAAGTAGAAAAAGTACTACAAATAAATTGACACTTTATTTAGGGATGATATTATAAATCACGCTCTCTTAAATGATGTATGTATATGTCTAAAATGTAAACCTATGTGAAACATAAGTACGAGAATGTATGTAATTGATTAAGAAAAACACTTAAAATATGTAAATTAGAAACATTTTCTTTAAACTCTTTGAATTTAAATATGATTTGCGTTCATTCTTCAGAATTGGTTTGGTTTTAAACTTGTATGCGTCGAAGATACAATAAATCTCTTATTTTATAAAAAAAAATAAAGCTTGTAAATTAAAAATGAAAAAAACAATTGGTTTTCTTTATACAAAATTGAAAGTTAAATGCTTTACTATGACACTCAGTTTTTTTAATTTTCCTTATATCGTTTCTAAAACTAGACATTTTATTCAAACACGAAAGTCAGGCTTTCAAAAATGTAGCCAAAATGAAAATGTTCGACTGATTGGAGTTGATTTAATACAAAATTAATCTTATGGCAACATTATATCCCACTTTATTACCGACCAATTTATAAATATTTACAATCAATTGAATAGCTCAATCGGGATGCGAGACACCATTTAAAAGAAGATGAATCGATCTCATGATATATTCAACGCACAACCCTCTAATAGCCTTGTCTATACATCCGAATTTGTTCTTCGTGCAACACCTGTTAAAAGCTTAAGTAAATGTGAAACAGGAAAGAAGATAAAAGAGGCAGTCGATTTTGGATATTCACTATCCAACTGATCTTGGGCTGGTTCCAACAGCTGATGATTTTTGTATTTTATTTGCTATTTTTGTTATTTGCCTTGTCAATTTAAATAACCAATTAGCATATTAAAATGCCATGCAGTCTGTTGCCCTCTCGATTACAATGCAAATCACGTTTTGTTGAAACGCTGTGATAGTGAAATATATGTCCAGTTTTGGTACACATCACTTCACTCACTCGTTCTGCGCTGTTGGGCAAAGAACGACAAAAGTGGTTTGATGAAAACCAAACCAAAAAGTGAATTCGCGTTAGAATCCAATATATTGTTATGCGAGCGATATTTTTAAAGCGTGACCACATGAAGGCTAACAAACGGGTTTTAATCTGGATGATGTTGTTTGGAGGCGTCAGACCTATTGAAGAGAGTTACGCTATAGTCTATCGGCATTGTTCAATTATCTAAAATGAACTTGAGAGTGAATGTGTCCAAAATCGCAGTGCGATTCTTCAATAATTTAACACTTTAATAAAACTCGCTTGTATTTATTTCTAGTGATGAGTGCGGCGGGAGTTTGTTAGCCAACTCATCCTCGACTATTGCTCTGGTCTGCTGACCAAATTTAATATGCATGGATTGCTTGAAACAAAAGCCGCCAATACCGCAGGTTCCAACCCCTTCCGTTGCAGCTCGCTGACAGGTTTTTGCCAACCTTCTGTACCGGCGTGCAATCTGCTACCTCCGCTCCACCATCCGCCGTACATCCTGCATTCAGGCGTAACGCGCGCTAACCCCCAACGTGCTTGACTTCACTGACGTAGGCATATGAATGTGACCGCCTCTGCACTTTGTGCATTGCTTCAGCTGCATTAAGGGATCTGGGCATAACAGCGGTTCTGGCTGTGCCATGTGCGTGCTGGTTACGTTTCAGCCTTTTACGCTTTGTAATTTTCGGTTTCAGAAATTGCATATATTTGGCCTACAATCGGTGGGTGGGGAAAAGCAGTCTGTCTGCCCGGCTATTTGGTTATTTATTACTTTCGGGACTGACGCAGACAGGTCGCAGTCGCGGGCGCTTGGTTTCTTAATTTTTTCAGTTTTATTCTGTTACTTAGCTACATCTTAAGATCCTATTTTAACACTTAAATAACAAAAATGTATTGACAGCGCTAAGTGTTTTAGAATAATCGAAAATTTCATGTGATTGATAAATGTATTGCCAGCCCATTAATATGCGATAATCAAACTGAAAATATTGTAACTCATACATACACAATTAGGAAAATATTTCAAACAAAGCATAACTGTATTTAATTATTGCCATTGTCTCCAATTGTGGTTTTAATCATTCAAATAAAGTATATTTCAAAAACCCCCAGTGTTACCTTGAATGTTTTTTAAATTTGGTGTTCTGCTTAAAAGTTATCAAAAAGAAAGGAGACTAATTGGAAAAGAGCTCTTGAATCAGCAAAACTTGCCATAAAAATTAAGTGTCACATAATTCAGGAAATCAGGGTGATGCGCCCCAGTGCCGGCCACAGTGCGTATGGGTTACTCGGGTTTCCATCTCGGGTTCGCTTCTAATTTTGCTTCTGGCGTTGCGCAAGTGCTCTCGCCCAGCCTGTCGCATCCTAGCTTTGGGATGGCCAACTGCTCCTCTGAGAGCGTCGACATATGGCCTGAAGCTCAATTGAACTCTCTTTGATTGGTCCCTAAGAGAGGCAAGCAACACCGTGCACAGTGGGCAGCAGTTGCCGAAGTGAAACTACAATTTAATTAAGCAATTACTTTAGTTTAAGAGGGCATTAACATAATCGACCTCTCAATTTGTGATCCCATGCCCACAAGTCTCATCAAAATAATTTGATGTAGAGTATCTTTCTTGGCTTTAACTTTGCAGCCACTGTGCTGCCGCTTGGCCTGAATACACTGGGCTTGCCAACAAGTTACACAGTCCGAGTCCTGCAGCCGCTATGACGTCATTAACTACATAAGCGGCCCACAAAGCAGGACATTGCTCGCGCAACAGAGAGTCCTTAAAAGTATGCCGCCCGCGACTGGCACAGCGAAGGAACAGCAACAGTTGACGGTCGTTATCCGAGCTCGGCGCTCCGGTTTCGCTCCCACGAGAGAGCTTATCCGGGACCGCTCGGGTATAAAAAGTGGAGGGTCCTGGTCACAGGCAAGCAGTCGAGCAGACGACTTCGTGGCGAACGTTTCTGGAACAGCAGCTGGCGAACAGCAAGCGTCGCGATTGTGTTTCCGTTACAGTTTGAATCGGTTCGAAAGGGGCTGCAGAAGCTCACCTTTGGGTGCGAGGCAAATCAATTCGTGCGGCAGTGCCAGTGCGGTCAATCCTTTCGCCGCGTTAATAGCGAAAGAAAACTCAATTGACAGGGACTTTAACCGCTCCCAGGAGGCCATCCACGATGCAGGCGGTGCACAAATCTGCACACAGCAGCAGGCGGCTGATGCTGTTGCTCTCCATGCTGCTCAATGCCGTAAGTCCTGGGGATTATATTTTCAATTTTGAAATTTGCGGCGCTATCAGCACATTCGGTCTTTTGTGTTTCATGGACCGTGCTCCTGCCTTCTCCTAAATTTATGGTTTTATGCGTGGACGAGTGCGGTGGGGCATGAATTTTGTTGAAACTCGTTTGTGTCCCAGCTCCTTCTTGATGAACGGAAATTGAAAATGCGATATAGTCCTGTGGAACCTAAGAAGATTTTCGTATTTATAACGCCTAATTATAAGTTTTGTAAGTTGACCAGCTGTGATTTTTGAAACACCAGACACGAAGTATCCAATTCCCATTAAACGGGTAGTCTCCAGCTGTTCAGCTTCAGTGGCAACAAAGGACTTAATTATTTTCCATTTTTCAAGGCCCCCGTCCACTTTGCAGTAATTTACATTGGCCAGACCACGCCCCATTCAAGCATTACTCTTCTGCGGCTTGCTTTACTGCTGCAACAGTTGCTGCTGCGGTTGCAACAGGACTACACGTTCAGGTGGAAAGTGCAGTTTTTCATTTCGCATTTTCACTTCTCTTGTCAGAGCATTGAAAAATTGGTCACGAGATGGCTGACATTTCTATTGTTCCCTGCTGACATATGCTGAAATTTTTCCACATTCGCGGAACTTGGTATTCCCATGAATGCTGGCTATCTGGCTGGAAAGCGAACTAGAACTACTGTGTCAAATTGTTCTTGCATGCCAAAAGACAGAAAGCCTTTTCACGCTGGCCAACTAAACTTTTCCTAACTTTCACCAAACATTAATTAAAAGTTTAAGCGTTTCTTCTGTCATTGTTAGCAAGAGAGTTAAGACGCTAGAAATGTCTCAAGTTTCGAAATTCTAATCTGAAGGCGGTCTGGAGATGAAGAAATTAAGAAACTTGTGGTGAGAGTATAAAGTGTCCATGGTCCAAAACATCTTCAATTGGGGTTTTTAGGAAAAAACATTTGGAAGAGAACTTAGAGAAATTGAAAACCTAATTAAATAAAAATATTCCAAAGAACACAATAGAATTTTTTTTTAATTGTCTGCCTCTTGCGAAGTTATTGATGGCAATATAAAATTTTTTAATTATAGATATTAATGAATATGTCGCTTTGAAACTTGAATAGACATTTGACATTTGCAAGCGTGTGAGGATAGATCTGCAGCGTCAGTGAAAACAGCAACGACGTCAGAGGCAACTGCAACGTCAATGACAACTATTGTACATGTTTGAATATAGACTTTCCCATAATTTCATTTGTATATCCAAACGGAATGCAGCGCAGCATTGAAGACAAAGAGTCAGCATGTTAGCCCGTGACGGGGTAAAGAATTGAACTGAAATGGATACCGATATTAATGACAAAAAGCGCCGGTTTGCTTTTTTCTTGTATCAGGCTCGATATGAACTATTTATGATATAGCTCGTCACTGACAATCGCGGCGGCTATTTAGTAAACACAGAATCAATAGCTACCAACAGAGCAAAAATATTAATTTTTACCGAGAATTTCGCCACCGAGCACATCGCGTATACGCACTGAGAGATATAGATGAATAAACATTAATTTTCTTGCGCAAACTCTTGTTTAAATTATGAGACTTTCTGAGCGATTGGTATTTTAGGAACATTTTATCAAACTTTTTACTTGGGGTCAAAAAAGGATTGTTTTCGGAAATGTCTGCTAAGTTTATCAAATTTGTATTTATACAGCGTATTGATTAAGTAGGTAGCTCGTCATACCCCTTTTGTAAACTTTGTAGTCTTATTTTCTTTCAATTAACTTTCCCAAACTTGTACACCCTGAACTGGGGCAATCATTTCGAGGCTGGCAAATTTATTATGCAAAAGATGCTGCCAATAACATAAATCCGACGAAATGTGCAAATAAACAGAAAACTGGGAAAAACGAGCTTTCATATGTCAATATCGTGCCTTGTTTGCATTGATACGCCAGTTGTGAGTTTACATTTTTATTAAAAGCCAACAAATTGATTTCATCGGGGGTTGGCTGGCAATCAATTTGATCCCATTTCCATTGTTTGCCTTTATATATTGTTGAACTTATCGCCATAAATACAAAAGAGCCCAAAATTTCAATGAGTCAGATATTGACTTTTTCATGCTGATTGGGAAGGTGCCAAAATCATAAAATAATCTATTTAATTGGAATAACTATCTTATAACATTAAAAGGGAAAAATTGAAACTATATTATTCCTTTTAGAGTTCACAACTGACATTTATTGGAAGTCTAGTTTTACGGATGGATAATCTCATCCATTAATCAAGAAATGTGTCATTATCCTCCTCGTATTTAGGAATGCCTTCGAAGCCATTCAAAGTTATTCACGCATATAAGCACTTTCACGTTTGTGTCGGCAGGGTTTGTTCCCATTCATTTTGAGCTTTCCGACAAAGCAATGTACAAAAAGGAGTTACACGTGGGTTTCATTGCAAGGACAATTACTGTTAATAGAGGCATTTCAACGCAATGGACACTTTCCCGCAGTTGGAGAAAATGGTTCATAAAACTTTAGTGTAATGAATACAAAAATGAACATGGCATGCAATCCCCAACATATATCGACTAACAAACGAATGCAAATTTCTTAATTTCTTGTCCTCGATGAAAGGAAAATTCCGCATCAGAAACCTCTTTTGCTACTCAAAGCCCCTTGAGATTATTTTTGGATATTACACTTGGAATGTTGTACCTTCCTTCATTAATTCCATCAGCGCAATGCTGCTGAGGAACTAAAGACTCCTCTTTCCCGGGTCTCAGACACTCGGAATTCTCGGGAAGGTCAGCATAGCACTTAAGTTTTAATATTGCGCACAGTATTTATTTAAGTAAAAGAAAAAGCAACAAAGTACGCCATTAAATTGCCCAAGTAGAGGAGGGAAAGCCAGGGAACGAGCCACGTAGGGCCAAGCGTCTGCGATAATAAAATTTGCCTGCGGCTGGACTGAGGCGACATAAGCGGCTCAGCAGGGATCACAGAAAAAGTGAATCAGTGGATGTGGTTGGGGTGGGAAGCCGGGCAAGAAGAAACTTTGTGGCCCGCAGGACAGCAAATGTCCCCATGACTGCTGATTGCAGAAGGTGCATAATATCACGCCTAATTAGGCATCCAATCTGAATCCAATTCGATTGGCATCATTCTCACTTATTGGTCATGTCCTGGCAGCTGTCCACTTAACTGGACGCACCGAAAGATTAATTAGGTTCCCTTTCATTTGCGTATTGATTTTTTCCCCTTTTCGAGCTTACTTTTTAATTGGACTACTTTTAATTGCTGCTGCCCGAGTATTACGACTATATTACACTTGAAGGATTGTTTTGATGTCGGATGCAGACAAACCTTTGAAAACTGCTGAGAGCTCTGGCTAACATTTAATGTAATTACGCAAACAATGGCAAAGGAATTCCAATAATCGGCTGAAGGAGCACCTGCCTTAAGAGGGTAAATAATAAAAAGCGATTAAAACGCGCAGATTCATAATTTTAATTACTCGTAAACCTTAAATATTTTACGTCCTTCGCAGCAGTTTGAAAAGTGGCAAAAGTAAGCGAATCGGAAGACCAGCCACACAGATTGTTACGCAACACACAAGGCTTCCGTGAATGAAATCCTCGTCTATGCAAGTCCCGTGCCCACGCAGCACAACCGCCCCAACAGTTAGCATTTTTCGCTTGCTTGTTTGGGGAATGTTGGCGACAAGAGCCGTATTCCATGGACAAGGAATTCTTAAAGCCACTATGGCGTAAATTGATATTACTTAGACTGTTGTGATATACATTTCACAAATTTTGAAACATAATGGCACTGTTTTCATTGTATTTGCTAAGCTTTTGTTCACTTGTTTATTTGCAGACCTTAGTTTTTTCAAAAACAAATTCAATTTTTTTTGCCATTTTCATCGTTGTTATTAATGGATGTTATATACAAGATTTATGACCGAAACATTTTTAGCATAAATTATTTTCGCTGCCAAGGCGAGCACATTGAATTCCTAGCCAGAAAACTACAAATTGCTAGTTCTTTGCTAGTAAACTAAAAAGGAAAATCCGAACGACAGCAGTTGACTTAACAAACACATTTAGGTTGTTGCTTTAAGTGCTAATAAGATATAAAGCTGGGCCCCCAGCACACACGCATGGATCTTTCAGGAGGTTTTCATTTTCTGCATGAGATTTACGGGCACTGGCGCCGCCAGCCAACACGTCCTGCAACACATCCTGTGCGTCCTTCCTTCCGCCTCCCACTCTGCCGGCATACCAGTTATTAAAGCGGAAGCACTGTTTCTGGGCCCACCCTCGACCCTCAGTTGAAGCGGAAGGCATCCACACAGTCGATGGTCGTGTGGAGCTCACATACTCGTACTTTCGACACTCCTGGAACTGCGAATTATCCTTTCAGTTCAGCGACCATTTGGCAAGCAAACTGCTTCGACCGGTCTTCACTTGTTGTTGTGTACGTTAAAGGAAATCTATTATGAGCTCGGCTCAGGCACTACTGTTGCTTGCCCTCACTACCGGGCCAATTCCAAGTTTTTGTCCCACGCTATGCTATTTTTCTTCTCGAAAACTTATTTGACGTTAGCTTGAAAGGTAGATGAGCCGATGCGACATGGCGAAGGGAGGTCCTTAAGCCTCTCAGAAAGAATTAGATCGGACCACACTGTTTTCGGACTTTACTCACTTTGGGAAGCTCCTGGCGCAGTCATCGATGACGACACCTCGAGAACCTTAATGGACTCCGCCAAGTGGGCGAAAATAAAGTAAATAAGTCTAAAGTGGTACTTCCAAAAAGACCATGCATCGTTCATGTAAAGCTTTTGGAAAATTTATGACCTCAACAGGCCCGGAAACTGAGAAACTGGTATCTTGCGCTTCAGAGCAAGGAAACATTGAGCAGGCGAAAAAGCGCCAACTGTCAACACATTTCAAAGTCAATTTAGTGTAAATAATTGCGGCAATTAAGTGAAAGACAATGTGCGTTGCCTTTAGAAATCCAAAGGCGTGGGAGCAAACTCGACGTTCCGTGATAAAAACGCTGATTGAAATGTAACCGTTCCGGCCTTCTCATTTGCCCTGTTTTGCTTTCAGGCCATTCAACCACGCTCCATTGTCGTGAGTGCCTCTGAGGATGTTGCCAACGTATCGCCCTGCGAAATGGAGTCTCTTATAAATCAACTGATGAACCCCAGTCCCGAGTATCAGCTTCACGTAAGTCACCTGCTGCAGCCCGTATTTATCCTTGACGGGAAAGGATTTATTTGAGCCCTTGGAGGGCAACATCTGCAAGAGCTTTGAATTTAAATTGCTTTCTGCTTTTGCCGTTCCATCCCGCGATTCCCCCATTCTCAGGCCTCCGCCTTGCGCAATCAATTGAAGAACCTGCTCCGTGAACGTCAGCTGGCCGTGGGCGAGGAGCAGCCGCTTGGTGAGTATTCAGACTACATGGAGGAGGACAAGCGCTCGGTGGCCGCCCTGGCTGCCCAAGGCCTACTGAACGCCCCGAAGAGGAGTCTGGCCACCCTGGCCAAGAACGGACAGCTGCCCACGGCGGAGCCGGGCGAGGATTATGCCGACGCAGACTCCGGCGAGCCGAGTGAGCAGAAGCGATACATCGGCTCCCTGGCCCGAGCCGGCGGACTGATGACCTATGGCAAGCGCAACGTGGGCACTCTGGCCCGCGACTTCCAGCTCCCCATCCCCAACGGCAAGCGCAACCTCGCCACCATGGCCCGTCTGCAGAGTGCTCCCTCCACCCACCGGGAGCAGCCGAAGCGAAATGTGGCCGCCGTCGCCCGCTACAACTCGCAGCAGAGCCACAACCAACGCGCCGGTGGCGAGAAGCGCAACCTGGGTGCCTTGAAGTCCTCCCCGGTGCATGGAGTCCAGCAGAAGCGCGAGGACGAGGAGATGCTCCTGCCCGCCGCCGCCCCCGACTACGCCGACCCCATGCAGAGCTACTGGTGGTACCCCAGCTACGCCGGCTACGCCGACCTCGACTGGAACGACTACCGTCGGGCAGAGAAGCGTTTTCTAGGTGAGTGCCCCCGCCCCGTCGGTTTCCGGGAGAGCTTAACTTAAACGAATCCCGGCCAGCCGATTTCCCTAGCACATCTAACATTTGTCAGCACACTGCACCTAGCTAGCAGCCATGAAGCACTTTCTTCTGGCACAGTTTTGTACATATGTTTATATATATTATCCCACAAAAGACACCTCCAAGGATCCAGAACTGTTCGGCATCGAGCATGGAAATGCCGTTGCCGCTGCCGTTGCAGAGGCAGAGAATGAGGATGAGCAGCCGGACGCGGATGCGGATGCGGAGGTGGAGGCGGAGAGCGAGCAGTTGCCATCGCCGCAGAAGCGGCACATAGGCGCCGTTTACCGATCCGGATTCCTGCCCAGCTACCGCTACCTGCGCAGCCCTGGAGGGGGTGGTGGCTTCGGCGGGGCCGGGGGGCGTTTCAGTCGCTCGGGACGTGACGCCAGGCAATTTGTATGAGTAAATGGCGATGGTTCGATGTGTGCTGCTTACTTTTACTTTGTTCATTTCCTTCGTTCCTTCTTTGTTGTGGAAATCATGATTTCTTTTGGTTTGAGTTCTAGTAATTGGCTCTGGAGACCTTTCATCTCTGGTCTTTGTTGTGTCTGTGGCCTGTCAAGTGTTTGGTTGACACGTTTTAGAAGTAGCATGTTAGCCGTCATTGATCATAAATTGCTCTCGGGGTTGCGTTTTAGTGATTTTTCCCAATATACTTTCTTGTGCCACTTCCTACTTTATTATCCAGTCCGATGAAAGCCCCAACAACAATAAAGCGTATTTTTCGCACATTTCCGTCGGCATACTCAATGTAATTTTTCCATTTAAATGGTACTCGGAAATTTGATTTCCGTGTACTTTGCAGAATCCAAATACGATTGCTTAGGGATTTCCTTCGTTGGGGACAATCGACTAATTTCCGGCACTTTGTCTGCCTCCGGCTGGATAATAAAGCAGAGCTTTAAGAGTTCTTGACCCTGTCATGGTGTTAAACGATAATAAATAAATAGACATGGACTAGAAATAATTTGGAAACAGTACTTTGGATTTACGATATTGGGGTATAAACGTTTGAATCTAAAAAGTATGCAGCACGTGGCGAAGTTTAAAATATGTATATTTATTTATTTTATGCCTGAAGGTAGGCCACATAAATTTGAGCACAGAAAATATATTACAGTTTAAGAGGTATTGGTATTAAACCTGCTGAGGCTAAAAGTTTTCGCAAGACTTGTCCTGGAATATTGCTACTAGCACACATTTGTAAATAAATTCATTTATAATAATTTGTTAAATTCTTTTGATGCACCTGTGGATTTAGTGGTGTTACAATAATCAGTTTGCATTGGCATGTTTAAGCTCATTGGCATGATCTGGTCTTTCTGTGTTCTTTATTTGACATATTCTTTTTCTGCTTTAAGTTCCATACTTACAGTTTTTTCTGTAGCTTAGCTGCGGCGGGTCTTTACTAAATCGACTCCATCCTGGACTTAGTGTATTGACTGCGAAAGTGTTTTCTATTCTGTATTCCTGTAGACCTCTTGTAGAAAGACTGCCGAAGAAAATATAATAATCCAAGCGGTTTCCTCGTCCCATACAGGTAGGGTACTTCCCCCAACACGAGCGACTGCGTCAACACACCGCAGCCGTTTGTAAGAGGTGTTTCTTACCCAATCAACCGAAGATCAATTGGAGCGGTGCTGGCATACGCGGTCGTCTGTCCAAGCACTACGTGGATCCCGAGGCCTCTCCAGCGCGCATGCCCAGCCTTTCCAGTAACTCGCTGCCATCGGGACGTCCACCGCGTCCGCTCCTGCGCTCTGGGGCTCCAGTCTATCCGCCCTTCCACTCCTGGGGCACTCCGCCGCGTATCACAGCACTGCATCGACGGGAGTTTCGACGCAACTTGGACAATTACGAATACTAAATATCGACAATATACTCTCTATGCAAATTATGAGATACCGACTACCTTAGTACCGCAGTCGGAATGTAAAACTATGCAGTAAATATACTAAATGTAGATCCCCATCCCCCAAATTTGTTGGTCAAGTCACACTAAAGACCTGTATCACTCGCAACTACCGAGGCTAGCAAGTGCAATCGAGAGCTGTACTGGAAGTGCTCCAATTTGTAGGATCTGTAATGCCACAACTCTCAATGTATAAATTATATTTACTATACTGAAGTAACTGATATCAGTGCAAAGCGAAAAAAAAACGATAAATATCAAAGCAAATCATATCGTCTTTATCATTTACATATTTAAAACTTGAAGGAAATATTTAACTAGTGCCAATCTTGTACCTTGCAAGTTTATATTCCTTTTTCCTAACATCTTTTATGGGTATATGACAATAAATATTTCCCCTAGTCCAAAACTAATAATTGCCACCAATGATCATTGATATATGAGAGTATTAACAAACTGCGTCAAAGACAATAAAACTTGGTGAGAAATAAGGAAAATATCGATTTATATATACATAAATATATTATACATATATGTATTTCAGACAATAAAAAATGTTGACAATAAAACATTACAAAGGTATCAAGTATTTCATTAAAAGTCATTTCGATTGATTTTCAATTCTTGAAAGTATTTAAATAAAAACTTGGAAATACGAAAACAAAAGGATATCCAAATAACTGTATGTAATAATAAGTCTGATGTTGTCAATAATTAACTTAAACGATTATGAATTTTCAAATCAAAGTATTGCAAATGATAATAATAATTTATTACCAAGTATTTACTTCGAATATATTATATATTAAACCTATCTAAGCCCGCATGCATGGGGTTAAGCTCTAAAAACAGGAACAAAGCTGAGATCTCGCAGCGGAAGTATCCACTAATTATCAACGTTATGTATCTGTATACACATTATGTATATCATATATAAATTAATGCAAATATATACAAATATTAATGGTTTGTTCCTGTAATACAATACAGACTGTTGCTTTATTTTAGCGTGCATTTGTGGGTTCTTGAGTTACTTTCTCAAGGATAGGAGTGGAGCATTGAATGACTTACCTCACCAATAGAGGAACCTTTGGAACCTTAATTAACGTGGTAATAACGTGTTCCAATGACTCGCAATGACCGTTAAATCAAGGATTATTTTAAAAATGAAGTCTTATCAATTTAATAATATATTTTTTATTAATTTCTTGAATTTACAAGCGTCTCTTTTTGCTTCAACGCTCAAAAGTACCTTCCACATCATTGGTTTAATTAAACGAATTTTCGCCGGCACTCATATGTACTGTAATTAACAATATCTCATTACTAAGGTTTCAAAATATAAATTAATTTGTAGCTATTTTTCCGAAGTGCTTGTATGGAACGTTGGCAGCCCTAATGCGCCTATAAAAGCCATGTAATGCACGTGCAGTAAGCGAAGTAATCCTAAATTATAGCCAAGCCGTTATTTTCCATATTCACGTTTAGGGGTATAGATAGTTGCCTAACATCTACATGTGCCTCTGCTGATAATTAAAATGCATGAAACTCATGCAAAAGCCGCCGGATCCACCAGCTCACGACCAGTACTTGGCCTGACCTTGCGCCGGCAGGGGGTGGTTGTAGGCGGCGGCCGCCGAGCCGTGAGCCGCTGCAGCCGCGTAGTCGTTGAGCTGGTGCTGGGCTACGTGGGCATTGTAGTTGGCCGCGGCCACCGCCGACTGGTTGAGGTGATACCAGTTCGAGGGCGAGTCCAGCTTTGAGTAGTTGTCGCTCAGGTGCAGAGAGGGCGAGATCTTGGAGACACTGTCGGCGGTTAGCTTGGAGAAGTCGTCAATGGTCATCTTGGAGTAGTCTGCAGCGGGAGAGAGGATGGACGGAGGTTGAATTTGGACTGAATAGTTGATCGATGAAAGGCCAAAGGGACTAAATATTGTTAATTCATTTTTTTGAAGTTCACCCACCTTGATGGTAGTAGTTCTGGCCCCCAAAGTGGCCGGGTTGAGCGAAGGTGCCGGGGAATCCGTGTTGCGCCGCACTTTGTACCAAGTCGTAGCCACCCATCTGCGTATGGTGGTGCGCCGCCGTGGCCGCCGCTGCTGCACTGTGGTGGGAACTCGGAGCGTTGGCGGCGTGGTGAACTGCGTCGCCCATGCCAGCCCCATTGGCGGTGGTGCCCGGCGCTGGACTGTAGCCCGCCATGGACCCGACGCCCAAGGGGCCGAAGCCCAGAGGCGCCGCCCCCACGCCCACACTCGAGCTGCCGCTGTTCATGGGCGAGAGTCCGGAGCTCGAGCCGCCCGAGTTCTTGCGCAGGCGAGCACGACGGTTGGAGAACCAGACCTGGATGCGCGCCTCGGTCAGGGCAGTGGTCTGGGCCAGCTCCTCCCGGGTGTAGACGTCCGGGTACTGGGTGCGGGCAAAGGCCCGCTCCAGGGCCTCCAGCTGCTCGGCGGTGAAGGTGGTGCGGGAGCGACGCTGCTTGCGTTTCAGCGGAATCCCGGGCTCCGACTCCGTATCACTTATGTCGGAGTCACGGCCTGCAACGATGGGAAAGAGATTCGGGTCTTTATTAAAGGCAACTAAAATTATAAACGCCTCGTAAGCAGCCATTCAATTTTCCACGCCCTTTGGTTCCCTCGAAACTGAACCATATTCCGCGGTTTGATCTCCGGATTCAATGAACAGGCCCACCGACGTGGATCGAGTAACCCCCGGATCGGCTTTGGGCACAGCCCCCAGCTCTGTGTGAATGGGAGTCGACGTTCACTGCGCGCCATTGCATATTAATTGAGACGTCAGGGAGCGCAACAAATCTGTCAAAGCCACCGACGGTCCGCCGATCCGACGATCCCACAGAAAGCAGCAATGCGGCCGGACGGGCTCTGCATATCCCGCAAGGCGTTGCCGCTGGCAGCTCGTAAAAGTCACAGTATTGACAAGTGACACAATATATCACATTACACAAGAAGATGATCGGCAAGTTGTCAGCGGCCATGGAGGAGTGCGCCAATTAACTTCGGCATCTGTTTACGAAAGGGAAACAAGGAAAGCCGCCGTCATTGGCAATCGGGCTTGAAGCGCGGCGTGTGGCAGAGCAGTCACACGGCTATGCCAAAGTGTTTGGAGAGCTCATTACACAACAAACTGGGTTTTCGAGGCGCGATGCAGGCACAGCCCCACCGGCCTAGGATCAAAGCAGGAAGGAGGTGGTCTTTTGCGGGAAATACTCAACTGGATCACAAGCTCGGCTTTCAAAATAGTTTCACCGGTTTCAGGACTCAGCGTATCCCTATTCCGATCCCGCTGTGAGCGGAAACGGTTTGTGTTTCGATTAAATTGATCGTTCTTGTCCTTTGAATTGAACGCATTCGTGGGCTCGTGTGTTGTGCAGGTACTCGGGAACTGAGTTATTTGGCTATTGCGGTCAGTAATGGGGTGTTGATCTTTTCCGGTCTGTCAAGTGAAATTATTAATTGATCTTGAGAATTAGGTGGCTTCCTGTTTCCCTTTTCGATGTGTTTAATGGGTGATTAAACACTGGTAACAATATAAAGGTGGGACCCTCGGAGTTAGACCTTCCGATCAATCGTGTCTGAGATTTTTTTTAAGGTACATAATACTACCAATCTGTCCCAGTCGCGTAAGTATGCAAACTGTCGAAATCGGATTGGCAAAAGCTTAGTTTTGAAACGCAAACCGAAAAATAACCTTTCGGCACGCTTATGAGCTTCTCCGACCAACAGGCCACACCCAAAATCGCCTTAAGCAAAACCTCAAAAAACTCCGAAGCGCGAAACGCCCACTGTTTAGTTCGGGCTGTGGTCCAATAAAGAAATCGAAAAGTTCACATGCGTATTAAATGAAAATGAATGGATATGAATGATAAAATACAGAAGTCGGACTATTAATCTTTCAACATACGAAACAATAAAACTTAATTATTCGAAATAAAGGGTCGGGATTTCTGGAGCTGCAGAATCCGTGGATGGGTGCCGGGGCAAGAAGACAAAGCGAGCGGCCAAGAGAAACGACACCAGGAAAGGTGGAAGGCAGAAAAATCAATTAGTTTTTAAATGTTAAACATTTTATTAATTTGTTGCTACTGACCCGTCAATAGCGGCGAAAGAGACCCGGTACACTGGCGGTCCGGGGAGAAAACAATCCAGCAGCGCCGAAGACAAAGCCTTTTTATTTTGGCACCAACACCGACATCGGCAGGGCACTTTGGCTACTGTGAAGCTCTTTGAGTTTTGGGCTTTCTTTTCTTTTCGGTGACTGGTCGCCGTGGAAAACCGTTTGGGGCCCTGAGCTTTGATAAATTACTGCGGTTTCGTAATCTGGCCGGGTATTCCATCATTTTTGACGACGTTAAGGTTGTGTTTCCGAACAGCAGGTAGTACTCGCACTTGTGTGGCAAAGTGCAAAAGGCAAGCGGTCATTTCCCCAGTCTTTTTTCTGGGTATTTATTTTTGGAGCGAATCACCTCTGATGGACAATTGCTGCACAGCTTCTATCGCAGTTGGGACAAAGATCAATCTGCTCTGTTGCCTTTATCTTGCTCGGAAAGATATGGGGGGCGAAGTGAAACCCAGTCGCTCATCAATCAGCCATCCTGACACTGACCCCTGATTGAAATTAGTGCATCTAATGCAGCTTTTTGTGTGCCTGGAACAGCGACCTGCAATTGGAAAACAATTCTTGTACAGCCCCTCGCTTTGCGGGGGGTAAGGGGAGCCCCAACACCCGACAGCGGACACCCGACCTGTCAGATGTCAGTTGGAGACACACGCGTTCTGTGCCGCAGAGCCACGGATTCGGGATTTGAAAGACCTCGGACTATGTGACATTGACTGGGGCCCGGCCGAAGGGTAACCCAGCCCAGCTCAACTCAGCTCATTTCGGTCGGGCTCGATTCCGGCGAATGTTGTTCGTTAAATCTTAAGATTCGTGTCTTAAGACTCATGTCAGCAAAAGGATTACAGGAGCTTTAAAATTAATGCCGCTTATATGCGCTAAGTTTAACAAGCGCTGAGTCGCTCACGTGGGATGGAATGTGGCTGCGGTGTTATACTTGTATTCAAGGGACTAGACAAATATATAAATAACTATATAAAGTCGAACTTTCACATTTGGAAGAAGACTCTATAATTCGATTTGGAGCTTGGCCAAAAACTGTGTTTTTTTTTAGTTCTTGTCTAATATAAAAATCGCTAAAATCGTCTTTACATATATAACTGTTATAGAATGTACCATTGCCTGATATGACATAAAAAATTTGATTTCTTGTTTTACTAGTTAAAGAAGTAATCAATTGCACTGCTTGGCACCGTGCGTCTATTATTAAATACCTTTGAGTCAAGTCTTTAATTAGAACAGACTTAAAAGTTCCTGAGATCCTTTGCTTAAAAATAAGTTTTTAATTTATTTTTTGTACACCCAGAGACATATTAAGCCACAGGCTACTTTGACATGTAAATCACTCGTGATGAAATTATATACACATTGTAATATTACCAACAAAGTATCCAAAAATGTATGCAAGAAACGCCTCCGCAGTGATAAGGGGAACGCATTAAGAATGGGCAGACCACTAAATACCATGATTAAATTCAAACGATTTTCCAATGGGGCCCATTTAAACTAATTTACAAAAGTCGAAAGGGCTTCTACGCAAGAGGACAACGCAGATAAAAAAGAGACCAAAATTAGTCATAATCATAATCCGGCGGCAAAAGAAACGTAATTATCGAAATCGAAAGAGTCCAACGTAGGGCCAGAATGAAAAAACCTAATTTAAATAACAATGAATACAAACACTTGATCAAAACAAATCCCAGATGAACAGCCGCGGCGGCAAGAACGAAAGAGAAAGAGGAAAGGAGCCAAATAACTGCAGAGGGAGTGGGACGGAGACGTCGGTTAAAGTGTGATAATACGTTAATAAAATATTTTGTAACTCATCAACACGAACGACGGACTCGCGGGGCGCACCAGTGTATCGAGGCGGCGGAAAACATACGAAAGTCGGTCCGAGACGATCCGGCCTACAATGAGATCAAACAGAACGCTCCAGGACACCCTGGTGGGCATTAAAGAAGCCGCTCGAGACCGGTGCATTTGAAGTCAGAGCGATGCTTTTGTTACGTTGACACTTTTTTCGGGCATGAACGATTTTAATGGGTTTTCGAGTCGAACAAATGAGCCAACCACTGGATCGGGCCATATGTGTGAGATAGGGACAGCTCCGAAGTCGGTGCTGCGGGTTAGAGACCGCACACACAAGGATAGGGTATTTTTGCGCAATCACCGCCGAGTTGCCTCCCTCGCCTTGCGGTCATTTGTCATGTGACACTGCAGGAATGCTCCTCTGGTCTGCTCTGCTCTGCTCTCCTCTCCTTCCCCCCCCTGACATCCCGTTGCGAATCATTAGAGGAGGTGTGAACCACCAAACAGGATTGCTTCGTCCTTCGTCCTTCGGCTGCCATTTTGTGTTTATATTTTTTGCAAATAATTGAACCTGTTTGTGTTTGGACGAGGCCAGGATCAGCCCTTGCATCGCTGCCGCATTGTCTGGTCCTGGGTCCTTGGGTTGGGGGAGAGTATTTTGTAAATATCGCCAGCCATTCCCACGGCGGCCTCTCTTGATGCCTTTGTCGTGGCCACTAATTGCCACAAGTGTTCTGTTCGGCTTTTCTTCTCTCGCCGTTGACTTCTTGTCGGTGTTTTGCCATTTGATTTCACTGTTTTGCGTCACTTTCTTTCTTTGAGTGGACGAGAATGCCCTGGGATCGAACTAAATAAAGAAAATCGCACGCGTATTTATCAGTCAAGGTTTAGGGCTCAGAATAGACAGCTTGGCTATTGTCAGGCCGTTTGGCGGAGGCGTGTCAAGCGTTTAGCGGTGTGTTTGTTGTCTCTTCAACGGGCGTGGAGATCAATGCTTATCGTGTCGAAGATTACGGAGAAGTGAAGTACGAACATAAAATAATAAATACTGGGTTTTTAGGTGTATTCGCTGCGATCCTATATCGTGCTTCTTTCGGGAAGCAGCTCAAACTAGGGCGCATTTGAATTATAATTAGGTTCATCGGATGTCTCACCTTTTCTCACACCTTTTAGTTTCTAAAAACATTACAATTTAAATTGGTTTTTAGCTGAGGATCTCCATCGGCATCTCTTGACTGCAATCAATGCTCTTAATAACGACTTTATTCGACTCGTTTTGTCAGTTTTTTTTTTCAAATACTCACTGGTTTTGATCAAAACTTATAACACCATTATTGTCACCTTACTTATTTCGGGAGCTCCCACACAATTTCTCTTTCTTTTTTGGGCATATTCAGCTATTATTGGGTATTTTATATATTTCCATCGATTTTTCGGTATTTGCTAGATCAAAGCGAGCCGCCGGTAAACACAGTGAGCGACACTGAGGCTTTGTGGCCAGAGCCGGGGAAGCTCCAGATGAGGCTGGCAGAGAGAGTGGGAACAGGCGACGGACGCGGCCCGAACGTGGGGCCGAGTCAGTTGTATAAATTGTTCAAAATCCAAATCAAACGAAATTATACGCGAAACAACGGATGGAGAAACATATTTAATAATGCATAATTTTATTTTCGGCGTCTGCAGGTGAGGGCCAGGAATCATTCAGTCGCCGGCAAAGAAGGCGTTGATTACAGGCACCGGCACCGATTTTGTTATCCCAGGTCCCCGGTCCCAAGTCCCAGATCCCAGATCCCAAAGATTCCAGCACAGTTGGGGTCTGCCCAGTTCCACTTGGGATGTGTCTCTGCGCAGTCATTCCGATTGGAGCTGTGATTGCGAGCTGGCAGCTACTTCTGCTGGCCGAGCGGGCATTGGATGCAGATGGGCACGGGGATCGGATGGGGGCCGAGGAATCAATGATGATGGGAGGGCGTGTGCTTATTATACGCTTCGACAACATAATGATTACCCTTGAGCCAGGGCTGTGTAGATTATGCTTAGTAAGTTTTGATGTGTGTACGTTTCCAACAACAGTTAAATAGCTTTAGAACACAGGTGCTTCATGGTAGCTTGCTAGAGTGGGGTCAATAAGTGGAAAGGTGAAACATAAACAAAAAACATATATCAAATTATAATTTGCAATTTGGTCCTTCCTTTAGCATTTCACCTGTGAGTGCCATTTTCACACAGCGCTCAAGAATACAATAACAGAATGCAAACAACAGTGCACATGACTTTCCTTCAAGGACACCACACCTAAACACTTTTACAATATCCATTTATCGGATGCAACTCAGAGTCATTGTTGGCTTGTTCGCATTCAACATCGGGGTGACATCACAGGGAATCCCCTCCAGGCTATTGTGAGGCGGGATTTCTGTTTTGACACCACAAAGTCGGCAAATAACAGAGGATGTCGGCAAAATTGACAATTGCAAAAAGGAGATCACATAAAAGTAGTTCGGATATCGGCTCCAATTGAAAAAGCAAAGTGCGTCTAATGATGCAGTGAGTGATCGTACAAAACAATTTTCTGCCCCATTTCCAAAACGCATACGCTAGTAGAACACCTAGCTCTTTGGCTGAACGACCACCGCTTTGACCCCGTCGGTCGTTTATCGAATGACTATGCATATTTAGCCTGATTATTGGCTCCGATCATGGGACAGAGGCAAGGGGCACTACGAGATCTCACACAAGGCATTGGAAAGCAGGGTTATTAGCTGGGACTGGGATGTGGCAACAGAATCTTGGGACTTGCGTACTTTTGATTCTCAGGTGTCATCATCTACACCTATTTCGGCTGTGTATCGCCAACAAGCCATCGAGATCGTTATCGTATGGCCAGCCAGATCCATTGTAGTCTTTTCTTTCCCATTCCGAGCGGCTTTTATTTAAGTTTAAGTCGCTAGTTCTAAGACGATCAAAGCCATGCTGCCGACACCAGTTGGTTGATTTCAGCTACAAATGATTTGATGATGATTTTCCGAAATTATCAAATAAATGATCGGTGATTTTCACAGCTAGATTCCCCGTGTCTGTTCCCAAAAGGGGTTCTCCATCGCCCATCGTAGCAATCTGGTTTCTCTTACCTCCAAGAATTCCGTGTATAGTATAGTCCTTCCGACCGTCTTCGCTGCCACGATCGTTGCCCCGCAACAAGCGACTGATAGATGACGTTGATGGTGGATCCGCAAAGCCCTCCTGTATTAATCGAATAAATAGAAAGTATCCAATTAAAAATCGGGTTATGATTCGGCTTATCTTTAATGCTAATTACAGTGGCTACGTATTCGAAGATAATAAATAACCCAATTCCCATTAAGATAAGGCGGAGGACCGATAAATATTTCTGGTGGCTACTGTTGGTCTTCTGAAGAATGGTCGCTGGTGGAGAGCTCTGACACTAATGCTATAGTCGCCGGGCAGGCTTTGTGTTTGGACAATTTTTATGTAGATGTCTTTGGGCCCTCTTCCCTCTCAAAAACTTTGGCTGGTAATCCAATTAGGAAAATGTCAAGCCGAGAGTTAGGCCAGGCATGAGAATTTACCTCTATCTGCGCTTTTGCCCTGCGATTGTGTCTCGGATTGTGTCGCTTGTTGTGTCATGAAACGAGACAAGTGAGAGACTGAACAGAATCGAGAAAGGAGACTGCTGCGGAAATTAAAAAAAATTGCGAGAAATTGCAAAGCTAAGCTTTTCTTCGGACTGCTCAGAAATAAAGAGCTTCGATTTTTTCGATCTCTCGTGCGTCATAGACTGGTTCTAGCAGGGCAACCCCTGTTTTGTGACAGGTTTCAGTTTGAAAACACATATCCCATCCCGAAATCAGCCCCAAAGCCGTCTTCCGTGGTAAGAAACCGAAAACTGTCAGTTTTCATTACAGCGACATGTCGACTTCAAACTAATCGCTGCACAGCGAAGCGCAACTGCGCGACGCGGCGTCATGTCTGGGAGTGAAATCCCAGCTCTGGAGGCTGGCTCCTGGTGGCCGAAGTGTGACCCAGCCTCGAAGTACTTGTCTGTCCGATGGCCGGTGGCCTGGTGTCAGTCGTTTCTCAAATGGAGTGGCATGTGCCGCAAACATTTTCATGATTAATAATATTATTTTTTCACTAACGAAATTATCGTGGTGCGGCGACCCCTGCCCCCTCTTTGGGCTGTGGTAAATTTGAATTCCTCGGCTAACAAAGGTGGCATAACTGGCACCTCATAGACAGGACAGGGACCGGACAAGACAAGACGCCGGGCACGGAAACCGAGACTGACATTTTGTCCAGTCTGAAGTGAATGCTGTGTGTGTGCTGCCGCGGGCTGTCTGGCTAACTGGTGTCGGTCTTCTGGCTACTGGCTACTGGCTGCTGGCTCCTATTTCTATTGAATGTGTCATGGAGACAACAACAGAAATATGTTTTGATTTTCAACCGAACTTTGTTGCGCTACTTAAGACTTGTGCTGGGTCTGCAACTCTGGCTGGGGTCTACCATACCGGTTGTTCCGCTGGAATGTGTGACGGCTTATCTTGCGGCAACTGACAACTGGATCCCAATCCCAATCCCAATTCCAATCCCGAACCCCAAGCCAAACCGATCTCGATCTCGATCTCGGTCGAGCCCCCGACTGCGAGAAACATTTTTCACCTCCGCCTGGGCTCTTGCTTAACAATTTCAATTGAAATTTAATTAATTAGTTGACAGTTGGATTGACGCTTGACTGCGCTTTATACTCGTACTGCGTTCTTCGCCTATATATTGTCTACCTCTGCATGTCGCGTTTTGAGTCTGAGTTAGCTTTTTGTTTGAGTGACAGGTGCGTTTTGTGTTTTTAAATAATTAAATTTCTGGGAATTAAACAGTTTGTCAGCGGGACATAAAAAATTTGAGGCTACAAACTCAAAAGTCCATTCCTAATAAGTGCAAGCCAATGGTTCACCGCCACGCAAGTCGTATTTGTAAAATAAGGAGGGGCCATCGACAAGCGACTAGGGATCAAACAAAAACAGGAGAGATGCCCAAAGCGTATTCTAATTAAGCGTGAAGCGCACCTGGGGGCAGTTTTGAGCCTAGTGCCTGACCAAGCCTGCGCAAACAAAACAAAAAGAACCACACAGCTAGAAAAATATATATGACGATGAATTATTATTATTATTTCATATTTTGATGTCATGCGAGTACAGGCATTGCAAATTTATACGTTTAACCAAGTCAAATTAAAGTTAATTAAAGTTAATAATATTTGTTTAATTTTTACAACATCCATTTAACGCTTTGATTCTTACTAGGCTATCACCATAACTTATGTTGATCAACTAAAATCTTCAAATTTACAAATCCCCATTTAAGTGCATTTCTTTCGGTGCAGATACAAAGTGCGCGACTCCGACATGGTCTGAAGTGATGCAAACTCTGATCCATTGACCGATCGTATCGATGGTCGCTCAACTCGTATCGCCACATAAAGTGTGGCTAATTGCGGCTTCAAATAAAGAGCGAGACGAGAGCCGCCAAAAGAGGCTGGCGCATGAATACACGATACTCGAGTGAATCTTTCGCCTCCTCTTCAACACCGCCGAAAGGCGAAAACAAGTACTCCAACACAGCCGTCACAGGCACATCCATCCATCCAGACGTGGATCAGAGGAGCTGTCCCGACTAGTGGGCAGTAATCCGAAATCGATGTTTTACCCAGACAGCTGGTCTCCCTGAATGAGCCATATTGGCGTAGGTTCAGTCCTAAGCTATAACATATTTTCCCTTTTGGACTTTGCGTTCCCGTCCATATTGAGGTGTGGGCATGTCAGCTCATCTTTTTTAAAGTTGTACGCTATGAGGCACAATAACATGTAGGTATTGAAAAAAATTACAATTTTTATAAAAGCAGAGGATATATGGAGAAATAGGTGTCACCAGTGTCGACCAGTTTTTATTAGATTTAAAAATCCGTCCATTAAATGAACCATTTTTATCGGGTGTGTTGCGATACACCAAAAGGAGGATTTACAAAACAAACTTTATGATAAAAATCACTTCGTTTGGGATTCCCCTCCCGATTACTTTTAGGCTTACTTTTCTTACGCCTCTAAATTGCATGTCAAACAGGAAGTTTGAAGCAATGTCCTGGAGGCAAAAGACATAAATATATTCTCTTTTTGCACCTTGTCGCCTCAAGGATAAAACACAATCGATGCCGACGAGAAAAACGACAACAACAGAGTTAGCCGACTCTTTATGGTTTAATCGATTTCTTAACGGTTTGGGTGGCAAGCGAAAATTTGTCGTCGCCGTTGTACGACAAATTTGTCAATGAGCGGCCAAGTTCAAAATCGGTCCTTGGGCCGTTTCGGCCATCTGTGCAACTAGCCAGCCGGCATATGCAAACGGCCTTTAGGTGTCGTCGGCAACGTGCCATAACAAAGCCAGCGGGCGGCCCAAGTCTGCCACGTGACTTTTCGGAAAACGGAAGTAAACTGATTCGCAATCGGTCTGTATTTGGCCCTGTGCGTCTGCCAATAATGGCATGCGGTTTTGACTACCGGTGGGCCTGGCAAAAACCTTGATCCTTTGTTTTGGAACATTTTATCGCTTCCTGCAGTCTTGCAGGTGTTGGTTGCTACTTACCTTGATCAGCTTCTCCCGTATCTCCCAACTGAAAATGCCAGGGTTTTCCTTTCGCAGCTCATCGATCCGAGTTTCAATCTCGGGCGAGGTCACCTTGGGCTTGGACCCACCTATTACACCGGGTCTAATGGAGCCCGTCTCCTGGTATCGGTTCAGAATCTTCGATACGCAGCCGTGGGAGACGCGCAGCTGACGCGAGATCACACAGGGCCTTACTCCACTTGCAGCCATTTCCACGATCTTAAGGCGAATGTGATTGGGCAGCGGGCGACCATTGATAAAAACGCCCCCGAGCTGGTTTACGCGACCTTGTCCTGTGAGCGAGTGAGATCAGATAAAAACTCATTCTATTATATTTGCGACTAAAATAATGGCGAAAAGGACTCAATAAGGTACATCCATCCACATTTTCTGGATTGTGAGTTAGACCCAATTGAATGGTAAGCCTAAAATATTAAGTTATGTTTTAAAATCTTTCGAGCTTACCCTGAAAGGGATACCCAGCGAAAAGGGGCCGCAACGAGTTGGCGCTGGACATATCCATTGTCCGAAAACACTGTGCTTATTAATAACTTAGAATCTAAAATGACGTTGCACTGCAGAACAAATTGGCTTTGGTTTTAGGGTAGTGCATCAGAGTCGATACAATTGCACAGTTGCGATTTAAACGGCCCAGAGGCTGTAGTTATTAGCGGGAAATCACTTAGAAAATGGCCCAAAAGTTCCACTTCATCACTGCGAGCCTGCGACGAGCGGCTTCCGATTCCGACGGAACTTTGCAACTCCCAGCCCGGTGGTGAGGCTGTGGGAAATTTTCTTGGAATTACGCGCGCTTCGGCGATCAAACAGCACGAGACTTGCAAAGCAACTAAAGAGAAGCGCGAGCATAAATTAACGAGGGCCGGCCGGCCGGGCGATGACGACGACTACTCCGCAGACGGACGAACAATGAGATCGCTCCATAAACTGGTTTCCGCGTCGAGCCACCACCGCCGAGATGGAGATGCTGGCAGGAGGGAGAGTGAGAGCAGCTTTCGCGTCCGCCCTTCCAGTGGTTGATGCCTGCTCGAGCGCCACGGCTATGGGCATTCAATATGGCAACGATCAAAACTTCGTGGCCAGACAGAGAGAGAGTCGCCGGTGAGCGGACCGCGCTTTAATCGAGCTAATGCCACGCCTCGGAAGACCTCTGATTGGCTGAGCTCGTTCAGGGCGGTTTGGTGCTCCGCTGGCCCGCCGGCCCGACGTTTGATATTGCAACGCATCCACAATCCGTCCGCACATCAACCCCCTCCCGCCGACACTCGCCTGATCACTCTGGGTGTGCAGCTGTCCCCGAGCATTTTGTATGAATTGTATGACTTTTATTTTGTCGCTGGCAGCCAATTAAACCGTGAAGGCTGCCGTCGGCACAGGACACAGGCCGAGGACCAAGACCAAGACCAAGACCAAGACCAAGCCCAACACCATTACCCAGACCAGGACGCATTATCAATCGTTCCGGTTTTGGCATTTTTAGCACCCACAGTGGCGTGTCGTGTGTTCCCAGTGTATGTTTATCCCATTCTGCCCTCCCTTCCACTACTCTTTTCTTCCCTCTTCGCCAGCTTCTCACTAGTTAGACTAGTTCTTTGTCATCCAAGTTTATGGGGTCCGGGTTTCCTTTAGCTTCCTGGCTTATCCTCCCTTGGCGACACACACAATGCCAGTTCATGCTTGTTTACGTCGATGAAATCGTGTCAAGGCTTGCGTTAGTTTTCTCCTCCACGGGAGAAGCTGCATTTGATTAATGGAATGCAATGTAATAATGACCTCTCATGCGGATTAGCTTTAGGCTCATTAGCTGGTTATAGTGCTTTTTTGATTGAAGGATTACATGTCCAGGGTACGGCGTACAAAAGTTAACAAGCGACCGATCAAAAGGAGCTATCTAAAAGCTACTCAGTAATCCCATCCTGCATATTCTACCCTGAACTGGGAAAGTCAATTACCGATATACAAACATAAAAATCTATCAACAGCCATTAACGGCAAACGAAGTCACACCTGGTGAAGTCTGGACGGTATGTAGTTTTGAAAAATTGGAAAACCAACGAACAAAAGCGAAAATAGCGAAAGGACATCATCATAATATAAAGAATTAAGCGTGAAGTTTACGCATATTAAGGATACGCACATGCCGCCTGCATCTGGCTTCACCGGGCCAGAAGAGGACCGGGGATGAACTCAAACCAAAAATGGCTGCTTTCGCCTCTTATGCGAGTGTGTATGAGAGTGTATTCCTGGCAGCGGGCCGCATGCAAATCTCTGAGCTATCAAAATATTACAGAGTCCTTCGGCCCGGACTGCATTGAGCGGAATGAGCTGGCAGGCTGATGAAATATGCCGGGCACTACAAAGTAGGAATTAACTGCTCAGACGACCTGGAGTCTCTCCCATAATCAGCATAAAAATCGATGCTAATGAAGCGTTATGCAAGGACCGAGTGCTTCCAGGCACTTGAGTGCACTGGTATGCCTCATCTACGCCGTCAATGAAACAGCAATGCAAATGAACCACACAGGACATGCCCGTCTAAGGCATTAATTGATTGGGTCTCCGCCTGTTTCCGTGCTCAGGACGAGACCACAAGTAGTTGGTCACGATAAACATGACAAATTCCCTAATTTGCCTATTGACAGTTTTCAATTATCGGAGCTCCTCATGCGCGGCAGCGACCGCATTAAAACTTTTAATAATCAGCCAAGTGCCAGGAAATTTGTAAGGACCCTGTAAAACGGAAACCCGCCTATAAATGTCGTCCTGGCATGTTGGCTTCCTGTTTCTGAGTTTGGAGCGTTTGAAGTGTTCGTAGTTCTAATGGAAATCTTTTCAGAGATGGAAATGTATTTATTAAAGTAGATAAAAATGCTTCAAGGATCAAACCTTGGTTAATTCCTCAAGTGACATGCCCATAAAACTGGTAATTCTGAAATAAGTTGAGAAGTAGCGAAAAAAACGTGTTGAGAGAACAGTTCACACTCTTTGGGATACTTTCCAGTTAATATTTCGTCAACAAAGCCCCCAATCAGTGTCCCATAAACGAGATTCAAAAATCAATGTCTATCGAATTCTTGAAAGGCTTTAGTCCTTGTACCACGCTACTGACAGGATTTTATGGACGCCGTAAACTGTGTGCCAAATTCTACGGCTTGTCTTCTCCTGAATCAGAGCACATGTTGGCCACTCTGCAGAACCGTGATTTACAGTGGGCTGTAAATTTTGTCGCCAGGCAGCATAAAACTTGTTCTATAGATCATTACTAGGGGCAGTAAAAGGCCAGAGTGCGTACAGTCAAATTCATTCAAACTCACGAGATCGTAAACCTCTTTGGAAACTCGTAACAAAACAGGGGGACGGGGGCGTAAGAGTTCTTCAAAATGATAATCATCGACTCGCATGAATAGGTGAGGGCTTTCCAGAATGGTCGACTGGCATCTGGCGTATAGTAAGGCCAAGGACAGCCGCATCCCGAACGAGTAGCCAAGTGTCCCAGGCTACTGCCCGCCACTTGCTGTGCCACCGTCCTAGGCGGCACCCCGCGCAGTCCTGGCCCTGCCACTGGGTCTGCCGAGTCCGGTGAGTCCGTTGAGTCCGTTGAGTTCGGTGAGTTCGGTGAGTCCGTCGAGTCCGGAGGGACCAACGACGGCGTTTGTTTGCCTTGCAAATTTAGCATGAAGGAGTGAAAACTGTTTGACAACTGTCTTTTATGTGTGAGAGTGGGAGCGCGTGTGTGTGCCTAATTTTCACTTGTCCTCCTCCTTGGTCGGTCCAGATGGACGAGCGATCTGTCATAGGCGATTGTTCAATATTTGTCGGCCCGTCAGTCTGTTTGTTTTGCTTCCGTTTGGCCATCAGCTACCGACGGATTTATTTTACTGTATGCCCAGTTTCAGAGTTCCTGCGCATCTGTTGACAGTTTTCTAACGGAGTTTTGATGGATCAGTTAGAGGAACCCCATTATTTGGCATTGGGCAGGACCCAAGTGGGAGAGTTGGTCGACTGGTTGTTCCAAGAAGGAACAAGAAGAGGTGCGAAAAGATTTACCCACACGATGAGTCCTAAAAAGACACTTTCGTTCAGTTGAATAGGAAACTATTTTAATTTCATGCAAACCATTCGTTTCAAGAGTTTTCTGTCTTGTGGAGGCAGAGAGCCTCGTAAAAGCCAACTCTGAGCAGTGCAAAGAAGACATCCTCAGCCGACTTTGATTTATCCGCCAGTCCAGGAAAGTTTAGCGTGTTTCGCTTAAATGAAGTACCAAAAACTCAATTTATTTGCAATTAAATTGTGAAACCAAACTGCACGGGACCCCGGCCTCGGCATTTGCATTGTCCGGCCGAAAGAGACCTCTCGCTCGCTCGCACCTAGCTGCGTCCTTTTCCCAGTTGCAAGTGCGTGGCTGCGGCGCGAGCTTTGATCTTGCCCCGTTCACACGCATGGCCTTTCCACTCCACCACCATGCCCCGCCCCCCTCCGCGCCGTCACCCCTCAGCATCTCATTTGAGCGCTAAGGCGCTCCGACGTGGGCCAACCCGGGACTGCGACTGGGCTATATGTCATTGTAACATAAAAGTTCAATTTTAATTGCCGCGCTTGACGTGCTCAAGGTATTTGGCTTGGCATTTTTACGATCACTTTGGCAAATGTGCGCTTCAAAGCCATTTCAGTCAGCAGTCCGCCGAACTGCGAGCTTGAAGCGCACGGATCTCCGACCGACTTTTGTCGGCCACTTTGTCCAGTCACTGCAGACACCGCAGACACCACAGACCCATCCCGTCCGTCCTCGGAAACTCTGTGTCAAGTCGTAAAAAACATCAGCATCAGCGTCAGCCCGAGTTGTCGTGGCCGCTGTCGAGCATGGATTTTACATATGTTCATTTGTTTATATGACTGGGGCTTGGAGCCGGCTCAGATTGGCACTCAACTTAAGCGATCACAAATCCGTAACTCATTTCGCCTCTTTTTCCTCCGCTTTGTGTACGTTCATTTACTGCTCACGCAAAATTCGAAGTGCAACCTTAACCGAAATTTCGCGTTTGAGTTGGTTTTGGAATGGACAATTGGACAAGACTCGTGTGAATATTAACACGGCCTTAATGGGCAACCCATTTCCGATTGTCTTGACTTCACCACCAGTTTCCCTCAGTGCATTCCCTATATCTCTCGCACCAATAACATAAATTAAAAACTCACCCGAAAAGGCAACTCCCAGCGGCATTGGCTTTGAGCAAATGCCCTGCCCCTTGCGCCCGGGGTCCCCGAATCACCGAAACCCCACTGCCCCAATCCCTGGACCGCGAAAACTGCAGACTGCGTGTCGTCTCCCACATGACGGGGCAAGCTCTTGGCAGGGAGCAATTTGTTTGCGCTCAGCGTCGAAAGGCGGGGGGCGTTCTTCCGCCAGCAGTTCGTTATAATTTATTTAATGGCTAGCTGGCCCTGCACCGTGTTGAGTAATTTGCTAAACATGCAACCGCCTATCGATGGAGCAGGACAGGGCAGATTTTCTCAGATTTATGGGCCAAGAGTATTGTATTGTCTGGGTGTTTATCGCTGGGCATTGGCAGTAAAAGTGGCTTATAGGCTGCCAAATGTGTTTTTAAATAGTGCATGCTAAATCAAAGATCTGTGGGTTTCGACCGCCAACTGTCGATTTCCGGCGAAAATCGCAAGCAGTCCTGCAAGATGACTAAATTACCGCAAAGACAACGACCACAGGCGTCCTAATTGCGGTGAGTCTGGCGAGGGGCTGGCTGGGCGGACTTATGACTATGACCGTCAAGGACGGGCGAGCAAGGACACCGCCGCGTACTAACAAACCATTAACACCCGAACCGCAAACTGCCAACTAGCCGAGATGCTGCACCGGCTAGTGCGGCTACCTGTTGACGGCGGTAGG